AAATTAATATAAATTAGGTTAATAAAGAGCTATCAATGGATAGTATTGAACTGCAGTGTGACACTATTTTGAATACTAAATATAATTATTTTGGGATGACAGAACTCTACATATATCTTGGGAGTAGTTACCCTAAATATAAAAATCACCACCTGGACTGTATTGCAAGAACCTGTCTCAAAAATAAATAGGGGGTGGGCCAGGGATTTAGCTCAGTGGTTCTGGTGCCTGCCTCACAAATGCGAGGTCCTGAGTTTGATCCCTGATACCAAAAAAAAAGTAACCAGGAGTTAATTGTTAGGGCCAGGGATTTAGCTCAGTGGTTCCAGCGCCTGCCTCGCAAGCACAAGGTCCCAAGTTCGATCCCTGGTACCAAAAAAAAAAGTAAGCAGGAAAAGGCCAATTAAAACAATAATGAAATACTATTTTTGGCCCATTAGCTTAACAAAAATTACACATTAATAATATTAAGAGCTTACATTGTGGGGGCATTATAAATTAGTGAAGTATTTTTGGAAAGCATTTTGACAGAATCTATCAAAATAACATATGTACACAAGTTGATGCAAAAACATTGCTTTTAGAAATCTTTCTCTAATAGCCAATCAGATGGTGCATGCCTGATCCCAGCACTCAGAGAGGCTGAGACAGAAGGATCACAAATTGAAGCCCAACCTAAGCAACTTAGTGACTTAGTGAGACCCTGTATCAAAATTTAAAAAATTTTTAAAAGGGCTGGGGATGTAGCTCAGTAAGAAAGTCCTGTATTTAATCTCCAGTAAGACAAGAAAGAAAGAAGGAAAAAAAGTTAGTGTTTGCGTATGTGGATAAAGGAATATTGCATATACCTTGCAGCATTGTTTATATCAGAAAACATTAGAAACCACTTAAATATTCATCAATAGAAGGAGGGCAACTGAATACGGTGGCACCTGGCTATCATCTCAGCTACTCTAGTGGCCGGGGCAGGGGAATCACAATCTCAAGGCCAGCCTGCGCACTTAGTGAGACTCAGCTGGGGACACCTGGGGAGGTGGCTCCGTGGCAGAGCACTTGCCTAGCGTGCAGTTTGCTCAGCAGTTCCACACACCCATAAAGGATAAGACAGATTCCTACAGACCATCCTGAAGACATCTCTGCACCATGGTGTCAACTGACGTGGAAAACGCAAACATACAATATATACATACATACCCATACACGTGTGAGATTACATACTTTTTGGGTAAATACACAGGAAAGGAAGAACAGTAGTTCTCCACATCAGCTGCACAACGTTAACTACCTAAGTACTTTTTAGAAATAGTGACACCTGGTATCCACTCCAAAGACTGGGAGGTAATGGTCTAGGGCAGTGACAGTGACCCTTTTAGAGGCTGAGTGCCCAAACTGCAACCCCAATCCCACTTATTTATTACAAAATGTCAACACTGAAATTAAACCTGAATTCTGAGGTTTTGGCTTAGAAAAAACAACTCTTGTACACTTGGCTTGAGTGTCGACAGAGGAGGCTCTGCATGCCCAGTGTGGCATGCATGACATAGGTTCACCACCACTGGTCTAGGACAGAGCTGGGCAACAGAAATTTTACAATGTCTCCATGTGATTCTTTTTTTTTTGGTACCGGGGATCGAATTCGGATCCTTCCGCTTGCAAGGCAGGCTGCGGAACCACTGAGCTAAATCCCCGGCCCTGCCTCCACGTGATTCTAATGTATGTGGAGTCGAGCAGCCCTGAGTGATGCTCATCAAAATGTGGTTAACTTCCAGGTGACAGGAGAGGGGATGCAAAGGGACCTTCATATTTTACTTTTTAAACTTTTGTACTGCTGGGACAGAACAAAACCTTTATACTGTTTGAATCTTCCAACAAGAGAATTACTCTCTGGGAACTAATGATGAGGGAAAGAAAGGAAAGAATCAAAAAGATTCTCCTGCCTGTTGACCCACCACCCCTGCCTGTTGACCCACCACCCCTGCCTAGAGAATTCACCATCTTTGTGCTATCTCTTTTTTTTCTTCGGTACTGGGGTTCGAACTCAGGACTTTGCACTTTCAAGGCAGGTGCAGCACCACTGAGCTAAATCCCTGGCTATCTCTAATGGATTAATTTGATAATTTTGTGTGTGTGTGTGTGTGTGTGTGTGTGTGTGTGTGTGTGTGCTTCTAGGCATAGAACCCAGGATCTCATGCACATGCTCTGCCACCGGTAGCTACATTCTAGTCCATTCAGTAACTCCTGATTGAAAGCTACGACCCTGTAGCTGCCATGTTTGTTGGCTCTGGCACTTCTCACACTAGTCATCACTAGGGTCTTTCTCCAATGTTTTCCTCCCCTTTGTCATTTCTGTGTCTCCTGTATCCAGCATGGTGTTGTCGCTTTAGTAGGTGTGAGGTCCCTGCCAGTCTTTCTGTGGCCTGAGGAGCCGCCAGCACCATGGGGGAATGACTGTTGAGGAACAGGGAAACTTTCAAGGCCTCAGTAACACCTAGGTAAGTGAAAGGGGATCTTATATTTCGCTCTTCAAATTTTCTTTCCCCCAATCCTAGAGAAGCTACTGTACTGTTTCAGCACGGATAATCCATAGCCTCCGCTGGGTTCGTTTCTGCAAGGCCAGACGTAGCCATTAGGTGGCAGCTGCGGGTAGGAATTGGAGCCCATCCCACCCAATACACCAGCCTATCGCTGAGGTGCAGGGACAGAAGTAGGGATTTGGCAGGACAGGGCAGGGCAGGTGCACAGGAGAGTGGTAGGGGTCTATGTTTGGCCTAAAGTGGAAATGGCACAGTAATGGGGTACCCAGAAGCTCTGTGAGGTTTCTTTTACTTTCCATCTATCTGCAACAGTGCCCTGTGCCAGGGTGCCCGTCCAGACTTCTCTCCTCAGGACACCACTTGGAGCTCTTCCCAGACTCTGCCCAGTTCCCCAGGCTAAGTCTTGGTCCTCCTCGTCTATGTCTGTGCTGATAGAGATGATGGTGGTGGCAAGGGTGTGGAGGTTGCTGGTGAATGTATAAAATAATGGGTAACATCCTGGCTGATTACAGGCACATTTCAGTCAAGGCCTTCCAGCCCATTTCAGGCAGGTAGCACTAAGGGTCAAAGCTAAAGGAGTGTTGGGTATGCTCCTTTTTTTTCTTTTGGTACCGGATATTGAACTTGGGACCTTGCACTTTCGAGGCAGGCACAGTGCCACTGAGCTAAATCACGGGCCCTGCTATGCTCCTTTTGATCTCTTAGCTGCTGGGATCTGCTGGGAGTTCACCTTTGCTCACCACCCCACCTTCTCTTCAACTTCACGCTCTCCAATATCTTCTGCTGATACTCTTCTTGTTTGTTTTGTTTTGTTTTTTGCAGTACTGGAGATCAAAATCAGGACCTTGAGAGGCAGGCATGGTGCCACTGAGCTAAATCCCCTGCCCAATACTCCTCTTGTTATCAGCCTGTTGGCACACTTCCTCCAAATTCTGACCTTTCTCATTTCACTGATGCCCCCACCCCCCTTTTGTAGCCTCATAACAGACACTGTATGGATGGAGGCTCATTCTCACCCTATCTCCGGCCCTCTTAGCCTCTGGCTAGAATTTTGACCCACAGTCTCACTTGAGAATTCAATCAGAAAGGAAGGAGGTGGTTAGAGGAGAGCACAGTGGCAAATCTACAGAGAAGGAGCACAGGAAACTTTAAATTTTGCTTTGTTAGCTATACTGGGGATTGAATCCCAGATCTTTGCACTGAGCTACATCCCCAGACCATTTTATTTTTTATTTTGTGACAGGGCCTTGCTAAGTTCCCCAGGCAACTTTCGATCTTTTGCCTCAGCCTCCCTCAGTGCTGGGGTCACAGGGTAAGTGTGGTTATCGACACTTACCAGTCACCCCTAGGTAACCAAACACTGTCACCTCATCCTCTTCCTTTCTTCTGTGATCTTCTCCCTGGAGAAGTCTCTCTATTCCCAGTCCATTGTTTGATGGCAGCTATAGCTGGGGCCAGCAATCAGTGGGGGAAATAGCCCAACCCGGCCTAAGGAAAAGTCTCAGGATGGGACCAGTGGAATGGGGAAGAGAATGGAGGAGGTGGCTTCTGACCCCAGCTCTGGCCCCTTGGGGGGGGGGCGTTCTACGTGACCCGCCATAGGTTGTGCCCTCTACTCCCCAGCCACGATCTACATCACAAAGCTGGCAGCTCATAACTCAGAGCCAGCCAAGGACGCCTGGGATTGATTTAGGGCCTGCTCTGACCAGCTCACCCCCACTGGACGACGGCCCTGGGTAGGGTGGGGACAAAGGTCATGGGTGAAGTTCGGGCACAAGGGTCCTGATCACCACCACTTTGTGCCTGTAGCAGATCTTCCTGCATGTCTGCTGGAGTAGGGGCTGGGGCCCAGGCACAGGAGGCTCACACTGACAGCCCATTTTCTTTCTTTTTTTTTTTTTTGGTACCAGGGATGGAACTCAGGTCCTTGTGCTTGCGAGGTAGGCAGCGGAACCACTGAGCTAAATCCCGGGCCCTGACAGCCCATTTTCTCAGGCTCAGCTCAGGGCCCCGTGGAGCAAGCAGCATTCAAAGCCTAGTGGACGTTCAGGGACAGCTTCCTGAGGATTCAGGCTCAGGAAATCTTACAGAGCAAAGGAAGCCTCACTGTCCATTGAGAGGACAGTCAGTCAAACCCTAAGGAAACCGTCTAACTCTTGCCATCAAGCTCAGTTCCATGGAGTTGCTCACAACCAGGTCTCCCCAGCCTGGCCACACCCTTTCCTCTTGGCCTGGTACATTTCATATTGTTACTTTCCTTCCATTTACCATTGTCTTCTGGAGACATCACTGAAGAATTTCCTTGACTCTGAGTGTTTCAAGTTTTTGGACCACAAGTAAGAGTAAATATGCTTGCATCTGAACCCAGGACATTTGGACATACACATAATTAAAAGTAAAGTTCTATAAAACTGTGTGATGTTTTCTGCTCTATTCTACATTGTTTTAAGAAAAACGTTTCAGAAGTAATTTTATGAACAACGAATGGGCTGCCATTTATTGTTTATAATCAGCAACTTCTTACATTTTTTACTCCTTCACAAGTTTTAAAGCCCATTTTATAAGCACAAACCACCCCATTTTCTTCCTAAAAGCCAGGGAGGAGAGTAGGACAGTTTCCCATGGACCCATTTGACAGATGAGGGAGCAGAGGCTCAGACGGTGATGGATGCACCTAGGTCACCTGGCTGGTACGTGGTAGAGATGAGATTCCAAGTTAGATCTTCTGTGTACCTGGTTCTGGTCCCCTGTGCCCTGGAGCATCTCCTTCCCTGTCCTCTATAGCCCTCAAAATAGAGTTCACTGTCGTTCCCAGTTTGCAGGCCACCCCCTTCCGTGGGGATGACAGAGGGACAAGCAGCTGAGTAATTCCGATTTCCAATGTCATCTGTTAACAGGGCACCATCTGTCAATTCTACCCAAGGGGCCAGAGTGGGGGAGGAGGCTGTTTCCTGGAGTCTGGGCCTCGGGACCTTCTCATCAGAGAAGCAGGCACCCGCAGACTGTACATTTTCCTGCTCAGAACCAACAGCAGCGAACTAGAACGACAGCGGACCACCCACCAGGGAGCAAGATGGGAGGAAGGACTCGCAGAGGTCAGATCGGAGATCGCACAAGGCGAGCCACCCCTCACACATTCACATGCCCCCATCCCTCTGCCACCAGGGCTGAGAGCAGGGCGAGCTGGTCCCTGCAGCAGGAGCCCTGTAAGCCTCTGAGGGCAAGTCAGTGGTCTCACAGGGGCCCAGGCGGATTCATGGGGCCCTGGGTGTGGCTGGCTGTTACTCACCCTCTGACTTTTTAATTCCCCTGTCTCCTCACCCACCCCGCCCCTCCCAAGAAGGCCTTTGTGCAGGACAATGAAGAATCTATAAATTCTGGGGGACGGGGGGTGGGGGAGGGGAACTCTGGTCATTTCAGCGCCTCCTACCCATTCCTGGAGCCAGGCCTAGACAGCAGGGAGTGGCCTCTGGGTTCCTGCCCCATCGCAGCTGACTCACACTGGAGCCAGAAAGGGGGCCAGAGCCTCATCACCATCTTTTACAGATGAAGAAACTGAGCCTCAGAGATTGTTGGCGTCTCTAGTCCCTGCTGCATTCACTCCATCTTTTCCTCCTCCCTAGATCATCCCCTCACTCGGGAATCCACCCAACAAACACCTACGGACTTCTGCTCTGTGCCAGGCCAAGTGCAGAGGAAGTGATGATTGAGGACAGCCAGGTCTCCTGCCCGGATGGCCACACAGCAGTGGGCTGTGGTTCAGGAGGTATCAAAGCGGAGTTCCAGCTGGCGTGGTGGCCCACACCTATAATCCCAGCACTCAGGAGGCTGAGGCGGACGGATCACCATGAGTTCGAGGCCAGCCTGGGCTACACAGTGAGTCCAAGGCCAGTATGAATTCCAGACCCTGTCTCCGGAAAACAAAACAAAAGCAAAGCATCATTCCCACCAGCTATTGTGCTGGTAACCTGCACCCTCTCCCTGATTCTTTCCTGCGCAAGCCCTCGTCATTTACACCTGCCCCACCGTTGTGCTAATGTGGCTTCCCCGTCCCTAAGGATCACTCCTCTGGCACCAGGCCCTTCCCTCTGCACCCTGCGGGTGCTGTGAGGACTCAGACATGGCTGCGGCCACACTGCCCTTACTCTCTCAACCAAGCCGGCCACATGACCAGCCTTTCACACGCTCACCCTGCCTGGGGTCTTGTTCTATTTCTGTTCTGCTCCGCCTTGTGCAGTGGGCGTTAGCCGGCACAGGCCCATCGTCATATTTATCCCCCAGCCCCAGGTCTGTTGCGTGGTCTTCTGTAGTGAAGTCAGTGTCACCACGCGTGTTTGGGTTTGCTGACTGACCATGAACACTCTGGGTCCTGGTGTGGGTCTGTGAGTGCATTTTTGTTCTGCTTTGTAAACTAGAGATATTAGTGCTTACTTCATGGGGAAGGCGTACAAATTAAACTAGTTAAGCCCAATTAAACTAATGCCCAGCCCATACTAAGCATTCAGTAAATGGGGGCTGCTAAGATTATTGTTCTAATAAACCACAGGCTTGCCTACTTGTGCCAGGCGGCTGGGTGAGTAGGTGGGTACAGGTATCTGCAGCTGGCCCTGCTAGGGAGACTCCTCTGGGAGGTGACCAAAGGGGCCAGCATTTGGTGTGTTCCCCAGGGGCCACTTCATCCCTTAAATGTCTGTTGTCTTGAGTACCACGAGGTCTGTGCCAGGCACAGGGTTCATAAAGCTGGCATTCTGGCAAGTGATACACACCACAAATGAGGCCAATGAGAGAACTGCAGAAGGTGGTGAACCCCCTGGAAGAAAGGCAGAAGGTGGCGAGGCAGTGGGGATTGAGCAGGTGGGGTTGTGGAAGGGCAGTGGGAGAGCGACGGTCTTGTGAAGGAGCCTGAGAGGGCGATCCGGGCGTGGGGACCTGCAAGGCTAAGGCCACGTGTCGGGGAAAGCCTGTCAAGTTCAAGAAACAGAAAGGCAGCCCGTGAGCAGTGTTGGCGAGGAGGGAGGCGACAAGAGGGGAGGTCAGCACAGACGGCCCAGGGAAGAAGTGGGTGCGGGTGCGGGTGCGGGGACCAGGGGAGCCAGGGCAGCCGGGAGCTCACCTGCTCTGTGGGTTTCTGATCTGTGTTCTTAAAGGTCTTGTGCTCCTGTGGATTACTGTCAGTGAGCAGCAGAGCAAAGGAGAGCCTTTGCAGTTGTGCAAGGAAGTGAGCAGGGCTGGGGTGAGGTGTTTAACAGAGGCTGATTCAAGATCTAACAGACACGGGACGGGACGAGGTTCAGGGTGAGGACAGGAGAGGAGTTCTGAAGGGAGAAAGGGCCAGGGAGCCACACCGGTCCAGTTGCTTCCTTTGGGCCAGGGGCTCCCTCTTGCCCTCTTGGACCCTGCCCCCGAACCACAGGGGCCAACCCTAGCCATCTGCTGTTCCTCTCTCCAGGGCCAGCAGCCCTGACTGAGGAACAGTCCAGGCTGACTCATCGGCCTTTGTGAGGAAAGGTCCCCTGCCTTCCTCCGTGAGGAGTCAGCCAAGGCCTCCAGCTGGGCTCGCAGGTTCCAGGCATCCCCTCCACGGCACTTAGGCCACAACACGCACATCCGTGCAACTCCCCTCTCCCCAGCCTGCAGCCTGCGCCAAGGGCTCTTCCTGCAAATAAATCGCAGCTTTGAAAATAACTGCAGGTTCGGGGCTTTTGAGGGCACTGGGCCAAACCAACTCGGGGAGGGAGAATGGTCCAGTGTCCCAGCCCCTGTTCCGGGAGAAGTAAGTTTCCCCACCGCGGCACTCACGCGCTCTCCCCTGGAAGCTGGGGCCCCCGCCCCCCCACCCCAGGGCCCGCGCAGCCGATCTTCCGGCCTCGCGCCCTGAGCGGGCAGCGGGACCGTAATTGCTGCCATCTGCTCCCGCCCCAGCCCCTTCCCCCGCGCCCGAGGGGCGCCCTCTTCCGCACACCGCGCCGCAGCCCGGCCGTCACGGGCCGAGCCCACCTCACTCATCCGGCTCTCTCGAGGGCTTGGGGCCCAGCTGGAGGAGCTCGGGGAGACAAGACCCGGGACCTCAACGTTCCGGCCCAACCTCGGGGAAGGTCGAAGGGGAGGATCCCGGCCCGGCGCGCCCGGGTGCGGCCAGCGCTTCCCTGGATGTGGACGCAGCGACCTGGAAGCCGGAGCCTGAGCGGAGGGCGCGGAGGCCTCAGACCTAGGTCTTGAGGCGGAGCCAGCTGCCTTTCCCACCGGCTGGGGGACCTCGAGCACCGCTCAGAGCTCTGCCCGGTCCACCAGTGCGCACCCAGCACCTGCTTTGGAGTGCATCCCGAGGACTTGATTCCAGAGTCCGAGCACTAACCCTCGCGGACGAGCTGCTAGTCATGGCCTTACGGGCCTGGGGCCTGTTGAGGACGGAGAGGTGCACGAGGAACCAGGGAGTCCTGGGGAGGCGGAGCGGAGCGGCGCGGAGGACCGGACCGGGAAGTGTGGGCTGTGGAGCAGGCTGGGGTCAAGGCCAACCCGGCCTCTGCACCTTCGGCTCCGAGAGTGAGGGTGGAGGCTGGCGACAGTGCTGGGGCCTGGCCATGCGCGTTTGGGGATCCCCAAAGAGCAGTCAGGGTTTCAGATAACCAGCCTCGGTTTTTCTAAGAACACTTTTGCCTAGCACCCTGTACCCTGATGTTCCCTTTCTCCTACCCACTTCCTCTTCCTCTCTCCCCTTCTGGCTGTGCTGAGAATGGAATCCAGGGCCTCATAAATTGCTAAGAAAGTGCTCTACCACTGAGCTGAGCTACACCCCCAGCCCCCACTGCCCTAATCCAGGAAACCACTCACTCAAGTCACAGGGGTGTGTGTGTGTGTGTGTGTGCAGATATCCTCCCTCCCCAGGACCCAGGACCCACCAGGAGCTGGCAACCTGATTCCTCAGCACAGTGAACCTTGGATGCCACAGGGGGCTCCTCTCAGCCCTTATGCGCGCGCGCGAGGGGTGCAGTGGAAGATCCACACGCTGGGGCTAACTAGCCATGCAGAGGAGTTTGGATAGGGTTGGAAGGAGGAGGGGAAGTTCATCAGAGTGCAAGAGAAGAGGAATTCCAGGCAGAAAGAACAGCATGTGCAAAGTCCCAGGATCAGGAAAGCAGGGCAGTGTCCTCCCTCGGGGAGGAGTGTAAGTTTAATGAGCTGGAAGCAAGTGTTAAAGGGTACAACTCACCCGGTAGGTGAGGGGGACACAAGTGTATAATGGGAGGGTGAAGTGACCCACACACTGAGCCAAGGGATTTAGACCTGAGCTTACTATATAGCAAATTGAAGCATCTGCTCCGGAAGGGGTGGACAGGAACAAAAATGGCCAGAAAGAATGAAACTGACAGGAAGTAAGAGTAAAAGGTCGGTGTTAGCCCAGTGATAAGAAGGGTATGCAGGGCTGCAGGTGTAGCTCAGTGGTAGAGCATTTCCCGAGCGTGTGTGAGGTCCTGGTTTCCATCCCAATGCAGAGAGGAGGGAGGGAGAGGACAGGCTATTCATTCACTTGGGCCTCAGACTTGGGGAACAGTAGGGACTGATGGGGATTATGGTGCACAGAGAAGTCCCAAGGATCCCTCCTGAGGGCCACAGTTTTTGGGCAGCTCAGCCACTTATTGCCACACAGAAATGCAAGCTGGATATTCTCAAGAAAAACTAGAAATGGCAGAACCACTGAGCTAAATCCCTGGCCCTGCTTTCTAAATATTGACTACTATTTCTTTAAAACTTTAAAATATTGTGAGAGCCGGAAATATGACACAAACATAACTGGGGACAAGATCGGGCCTATTGGGCACTGGTCGTCAAGAGCTGCAGAGTTGATGGAAAGCTCAGGGATGTTTTCAAAGGAGGGAAATGATCTGCGTAGCAGGCCAGAGGGGCAGTGTGGAGCCAAAGGTCAGGGGGACGGTTGCAATTATCCAGGCCAGAGGACTGTGGGCTGAATAAAAGCAGCTGACCTGGAGAGAAGGGAAGTCTTCCCAGGCATAGAGTAGGGGTCTTCGGGATTTACCCTTCCAGGAGGGCTAAAAGACTCCTATCCCTTGGTCCCCTTTAAGGAACTGTGAAAAAGCAATAGGATGTCTTAAGGTGGGGAGGCCTATTTTGAGGGGCATTCCCTTGAAATCCCAAGATTGGGTGCTGGCAGGGTTGGGTCAGACATTCCAAACAGCCTGAAGAGGGAGGGGTTATGCAGGGGGAGGGTCTCAGGAACGGGGCCTGGCCTTCAGGAAGACCCCAGCCAGCCCTAATGGGAACCACACGTGGGGTGAGCTTGCAATCTTGGGTTGCCTGTGACGTTTGCCTTTGGAATTGGACACTTGGCAGGGGTCACTTCTGACCCACCAGAGCCTGAGGCCTCCCAGCCCCAGCTCCCTTCCTAATGGCTGCCAGACACATTCTGCTCTGTACCCAGTGCCTGGATCTGGCTGATTCCTGGCGAGGGGCTGCTTCTAGGGCCCCATTTCCTGCTAGGAGGGCACCTAGGCCTTAGGGGCATAAGTGTTCTCAGACAAGAATTGCAGGTTTTGCGCTGGGCCAAGAGTTGATGGCCTCAGAGACAGCAGAATAAGTCTCGCTTCCAGTGTCCCCCAAACTTAATATACCCCCAGATCCCTGAATTGCTTCTGACATTGTACAGGGTGCTACCCTCAGCCTCCATCCCTCCCCAAAGCATCTGTGGGTGCTCTGTGGCTGTGGCAGTCTTAGCCTCCTCCCATGCCCTGCTCGGGGAATTTCTTGCCCCTGCCTCGGGTAGCAGGAGCAGCGAACAGTCCAAAGGTAGGGGAAGAGCGCTGCAAAAAAAAGAGAAGGGGAATGGGTCCCTAGCATAGTTCCTAGTGTACTCTTCTCCCTGAGTCTGAAATCTTCTGGCCAGAGGGCTGTGTCCAAGGAGCCTCTGTACCACAGAGGACTAGGACATCTCCTGACCCCTTTTCCGGCCCCTGAGTTGGCCACTCTGGGCTCACACTTTTGACCCTCCTCGCTCAGCTTCCCAGCATGCTGGGATTGCAGGCCTGTGCCGCCATGTCTGGCTTCTTCTGGTCCTTAGGTGGTTCACACTGGCGTTGGGTGGGGTGGCCCCCTTGACTATAGCGTGCAGGTGCGTGTGGGAGGGTGCGGTCTGCTCCTGCCCCAGCCCAGCCTCCTCTCCTTGGTGCACTCCTTGAGAACTTCCAGGCAGCCTGCTCAGCATCAGGAAGGGGCCCAGGAGCTGGGTTGGGCTGCATTCCTGGGGGAAGGGGGGAGGAGAGGGCCACAGCACAGCCCCTCCAGCCTTCCAGCACAGGCCCCCTGCTGCCAGACTGATGCTCTCTCTGACCTTGTTGAACAGGGCCAGCCCCTGGCACAGGCACCAGGGCTGGAGACCTAGGGGTTTCTGGGCTCTGCTCAGAATGAAGCCTTCTGTGCTCTGGTCCATGGCAGGCACTGGGTAAGGAGTCCCTGAGGTGAAGTGACCTGGCCTACATGGAAGGCAAGGCAGGCCACTGAGGGCAGTCCCTTGGTGTGATTTATCACCACACTCCCTCTGCAGGGCAGCTCAATATCCCAAAAGTCTCTCAGTCTCTAGTAAGGGCTCAGAAGCTTCTGGAGAAGGAGCAGGCCCAGCAGAATGGAAATCAGGCAGCAGATACAGAAAAAGAGAATCCTAAGGAGCAGGCCCTAGGAGGTGGCAATAGGGTAGTCCCTCCAACCAAGCCATTCCCATCCCCCAGCCCGTTTCAGGAAGCTCTCCCAATGAATATTTAATAGCTCAGTTCTGGGCCTGATTGAATTTTAATGTGGGCAACCCGAGCCCTGGAGCTCAAGTCCAGGCAATTAGTCAGGAGCCATTAACGCTGACTGAGCTGATTTATAGGTGGATCCAGGGCCGGGCTGGTGGGGAGCCCAGACTGCTGGCTGCCCAGGATTGGGCAGCCAAGTCTCCCATGCTGGCTAATCCCTCCGGCCCTCTCTACCTGTTTTGCATCTCATTTGCATAGCACTGCCAGTGGCCAAACCCGGGTGGGAGTGAGTGGGTAGGGAGACCCCAGGGTAAGTGGAGGCTGGTGGGTGGGATGGCTCCAGGACCTGACCAGTATTTATGGCTATGCCAGGAAAACTTCTGTGTTGCATGTGCTGATCCCAGGCCTCCCCCTATTTCCCAGTAGGGCCCAGTTCTAGGGGAAAATTCCAAAGGAGGAGGAGCTTTGTCTAGGGCTGGCCTGGAAACTGGGCAGAGCTGCCGGCCTCAGGACCCAACAAAGGGCTCCACTGTTCACAGGCAGGAGCCTTACTGAGGCATTACTATGTGGTGTGCACTGTGTCCACGGCCCCACCTGCAGGGATGTAGATGCGAGTGTGGGTTTTCAGGGTGCCAGGTCATGCTCCAGAGAGCCAGGTTGTGATGGTCTCCTTCCTCTCTGCCCCTCTTCCTCCTGACCCTGTGAAAGAGCTGGGACTCAGCCTGGAGTGCTCTATTGAACTGTGCCCGACCCCTTAAATCACAGGTCAAGGATTTCGTTGGCCTGTCTACTGCCACTCTGGCAGGTGGCCTTCTCATCACCTCCCTCTCAGGCCCTTTCCAGACCTTGTCTAGCTGGCAGTGGGGGTGCGGGTGGGGATCCTTCCCTGACCAGGCTAACATCTTCATGGTCCAGGCCCTACCTGAGCTGGAACTGGCACTGGAGCGGGGGAGACAGAGCAGGGAGGCCAGTCCTCACAGGGCGGCCAAGGAGGGCTTGGCAGGGAATGGGGGATGCTGGTCAAGGAAGGCTTCCTGGAAGAGGCAGGGCAGAGGGACGGGGAAGGAAGGGAGGGACGGGGCAAAGAAAAGGACAAGGAGAGGAAATGCTCCACGGGCAACATCCTGTTGGAGGCAGGAGAGTGAAGTGGAAGCTCGGAAGCCCCACACTTGTTAGCTGTTCCTGGTCAGCTGCAGCTCAGCCCGGGACGGCCTGCCCAGGATGATGAGGCAAGGTGAGAAAGGGCAACACCGGTGTTATCATAGCTGCGATCACAGATCACCCCTGCTATGCACCAGGCACTGTGCCCAACACTTTAAATACACTCTTCCATCTTTCACAGTCTAGTGAGGGGAGTGGTCTTAGGGTTCCCACTTTGCAGGTGAGGACACTGAGGCTCTGAGAGTGGGAGTAATAACCCAGATCACACAGCTAGCAGGTGGCAGAGCCCCTTCCCTTGTCTACCCCTCTACGCTGCTCACAGGTGCCTCAAACTCAATGAGTACCCTCAAAATCTGCTCTTCCTCTTGCGCCTCCTACCTCTATTCGCCAGG